CCAGAGGAGCAGACGCAGGAGCACATTCATGGATCTACACCCATCTTGATCTTAACAAAAGCACCAGAAATGTATCTGAAGACAAATCAGCCTCCACAACAAATACTTGTGGGAAAACTGGAGAATCCCATATAAGAGACTGAAACTAAATCACATTTTCTCAGCCTGTACAAAAATCAGCCCAAAATGGATCAAAGACCTTAATGTAAGAAATTACCACTAGCGGACATATAGGGGGAACACTTCACAATATTGGCACATGCAATGATTCCTTGAATAGGATTCCAGCAGCTCAGGGGAAAAAAGCAAGAACAGAACAAATGGGATTACATCAAATTAAAAGACTTCTTCACAGTAAAGGAAGCAATCAACAAAGTGAAGACAAGGTACAGAATGGGAGAAAATTGTTGCCAGCTCTCTGCCTGACAGGGTAAATATTCAGAGTATGGAAAGAATTAAAAGAAGTTGGCAACAAAAGAACAAATAGTCCAAGAGTAAATGGGCAAATGATCTGGATAGACACTTCTCAGAAGTACAAATAGAAATCAATACGTGAAGAAAGGCTATGCATCTTTAGACACCAGAGAAATGCAAACCAAAACTAACAAAGAGTACATCTCACTCTAGTCAGAATGACTATGGTTTTTTAAAAAGCTGGCAAAGATATGGAGAAAAAACTTTATACACTGTCAGTGGAAACCTAAATTAGTATAGTTACTGTGGAAAACAGCATGGAGGTTCCTGAAAGACTAAAAATAAATCTACCATTTGATCCAGGTATAATAATCCTGAATATGTACTAAAAGAAATACAGCCAGCATACAAAAGATATACCACATACCCATGTTTATGGTGGTACTATTCACAACAGCCAAGCTATGAAATCAGTCTAAGTGCCTAGTGGCAGACTTTCACAAGTGTGGTGTATAGAAGCAAAGAAGGGGGGGGGGAGTAGGAAGAGACAGGAGGGTAAAGAAGCTGACAGAGAAGGTGGATACGATCAAAACACAAGGTTTGCATGCCCGGAAATGTCATGGTGATACTCATTAATTTGTACAATTAATATGCTTGAAAAACTGTAATTTTAAAAGCTAAAAATCAATAACAGAATATAACCAGAAATTTCATGTGTTTGTCTTAATTGGGCTGACAATATCTATTGTTAAAAAGCCTACAGCAAATATCAAATGTATGATAAATAGCAAGTCTGATAAATGTTAATTTAGGTTACTCATGAAAAACTCAGTCTCTCTAAAGCTACAGGAATGATTCACCTGAGGTTCAAATTGGAGTTCTTCTTGTTTTCCTGGAATCAAAAGAAATCTTAAAAACAGTACAAAGCAAAAACACTGGACTGGAGAGTCAGATGGGATGTACTGGTAAAAAGAACCTGATTTCTGGATTGATGTCACAGGAGGAACAGACAATGAAAAGAAAATAAATAAATGTAATAAGTGAGGCTGGATGCATGTCTGTAATTCCAGCATTTTGGGAGGCTGAGGCAAGAGGATCACAAGTTTGAGAGCAGCCTGGGTAAGACCCCAGCACGGGGAAAGAGGTGAATGCACTGAACATATAATAATTAACTGTCAAACCTCGTTCAAAGCTTACTGTTTTCAGAGAATACATAATTGATCAGCAAAAAAACTCAGTGTATACAGTGTCCTGGAAAAATAGGAAGCTAGAAAACAAAATTTTCCAACAGGCTCTCAATATTAAAAAATATTTAAAATTTTCATTTAATTTTCACTTCAGTCATTTAAGATAGGTCTTGAGACCAAAAAAACCACATTAAGTAACTTACCTATAGCCACAAAGTTATTTACAAATGGGTGGGGAGAAAAATTCAGAATTTACTAAAATTTTAAATTATTATTTTTTTTATTAATGAGAACGACAAGAGATGTTTTGTTATTTATTAAAAATCTATTGAGATATAATTCAAAGCTGGTTGATTAACAAATAACTCACAAATATGGATGCATTTTACCTTGATTTTATTTATTTATTTGGTACTAGGGATGGAACTCATGACCTTGCACTTACCAGGCAAGCGCTTAAGTGCTGAGCTAAATCCTTGGCCCTGCCATGACATTGTATGTGGTAAGGACTGCTCTTAACAGAGATAACGGGCCATGTAAACAATAAATGGGGCTGACTGTCAAAATGATAGTCTTGGGTGGAGGCTTCTCTTCCCTTTCTTTGGTCTTTTAAATTCTCTGAGAATAGAGTTGCTTTGTGCAAATACAGATCTTTGAAGGTTACAGGATTCCTGCTAAAGACCTGAAAATTGTTTTCTGACTTTGCTCTACATTTCCCAGTCTACTTATTCCTTTCATGTGCTTTCAATCTAAGGGCAAAGTGTCTCTTGGACCCAAGAGGTCTGGAGTCTTTTTAAGAATGATTAAGTCTCTTGGTGTTAAAAGAAAATCCTCAACCCTCTTTTCCCCTAGTCTTTGTGTGCTTTAGATGTGAATATTCATAGCTTCAACTCCCCTAGCTCCTCTGCCAAAGGCCTGGCAAGTGTAGTAGATGAGATACAGAGAACTGAGAAGCCCGTGATGGTGGCTGTCCATGGCGGGGCTTTCAGAGAGGGCCTGGAGCTGACCTTGGGCTGCCCCTGTAGGATTTGCCCAGGCAGAGGTAAGCGCTAAGCTCCAGGATTTTGGGGGTTCTCTTGGGCCAAGCTCTAAATAAAGTTGTAAGTATCTATTAAAAACATTACCTGTTTTTAATTCAGTCTATTTTTATTATTGAGTTGTTAAAGTTCTTTGTGTCACCTAGATACACATCCCATATCAGATCTATCATTTGACAATATCCTTTCCCATCCTGTACATTGTCTTTTCGCTTTTTTGTGCTTCCTGGCTCTTGCAAGGACCCAGAAGCTTTGCCGGAAGGCTGTGTTTTGTTGTTGTCTTTGATAGAGCATAATAGCCTCAGAAGAAAAATGAGGTAGAAGTTAGAAACATGTCTGAATATGCAAATCTAGCACAGCTCTGCTTCTGCTGTTGATTAAAGAAGGCATGATCTAATTTGCCCTGTAGCAAATCTTGCTGGATTAAGTGAGAGAATCCTTTTAAGAGCGGAAGAAATCCAGGGGGATGTTTCTTAAATGTGAATATGTTATTTCCCTGTAATGGCCTTTCCCAATCTCTGATAGTCGCAAGTTGGCCTCCCAGAAGTCGGCCTAGAGTTCTTGGTGGAAGAGGAACTCATCTCCGCCCCAGACTCATTGGAATTCTAGCTTCACTTAACTTCATTACGCCCAAGTTGGTGAAAACCTTTCCAAGAATTGCCTAGATCATTGATCTCAACTTTTGTTTTCTTGCCACTAGATGCTCCCATCTGGGAGTGATGAGAGACAATGAGACCTATATTCTGTTGCTTATTTCCAGTCTACTTTGTAATCTTTGGTTGCTATCACTGCAGAAAATCTCATTTAACATAGATAGGATGTTGGAAATGGAAGCAGACTTTTCAGTTCTGTGATGGCAATCTTGGGATAGTCTGCCTTGATTTTAATCCAAGACATATGAAAATTTGAAGTTGTCTCAAACATACTTTGGTTTTTTTTAAATTTTATTTTAAAGAGACTGAAATCAAACAAAATAAAACAGAATCAAGCCAATTAAAATAAAATGGTACAGAACTGCAAAACAAGATACTAGGAAATCATCAATGACTCCCATAATATATCTTGCTATCTTCAAAGCAGCTGCCCATGCCATGACACTTTTATAATGAAATGAAACAAAACAAAACAGAATAAAACAAAACAATGAAAGTGATACAGGACTTCAAAACAATATAATAGTAAATTAACAATGGCTACCATAATGCCTCTTGTTATCTTCGGAAGAGCTATCCAGACCATCAGACCTAGGCATGTAAAATTAACCAATCAGTACAAGAACTAAATTGCTTCTTTACTTCAGTTGTTATCTTTTCAGAAATTTCAGGTATGCAACTTCTAATTTATACTATGTCTATGTCTCCTGAACTTGTTCTGCATGGGCTGGAGGTCTGAGATTGTATTCTGCTCCTTCATCTTGACATTTTCCTGTGTTCCTCTGAATCGGCCCATCTCTGCATCCAGGTGTTTCCTGCACTGGCTGCCAGTCTCTCAGTGTAGTGGATTGGTTCTTCCAATCAGGGGTTCCTGGAGTGGTGGTTCACTAATGCCCCCCAATGGTGGCAGAGTTTTGGGGCATGGCTTCTTCTCCAGGCCTGCACTGGGCTCACCAGATATCTCCAGGCTGCTAGCACACAGCCTTGGCACATGACTTCTTCTCCAAGCTGGTGCTGGGCTCATGGCACATGGCCTTGGGGCATTGAACATGCTTTCAAGGCCACCATCATTTGTGATGTTGAGCAGCTGCTCCTCATCTGCACAGACAAAGTCAGTTCACCTGGCTTATTCACAGATGGGTCATGGACACATTCCTGCACTGTTTGGAGGGTCATTTGTGGTTGAGAGGAATGTTCAAACTCTTTTAAAGCTGGTATAGGGGATCATGCATCAATAGGGAGAAAAAAGACCCTGGCTCAGTCTCTTTTAAAACATCTCTGTGAATGTTTGAAGCATGTTAAAAAATCCTAACATTCCTCATCATTTCTATAATTTCAGTCTGACTTTGAATGCAGCCACTTTAGCTGCTAACTTGAACACATTTGTCATTCTCCCCTGAAGTGATATATTAGGGTCATTGTACAGGTTGGATATATCACATGAGTAAGCAAGTTTTATGACCCCTTGTGTGTCACTGAAATGGTGTTGCCACTGGTGGCTTCTTCTCTAAAAGAAATCTCTAGAGCAGCTCTCATAACTCAGAGACTCTGACCAGTGATCTACCCTTAGAAAGCCATCTGACTTTTGTATATAAGAGGTGTATGTGCTCTGATTTCACCTTCTCACAAGGATATATGAACAGACATGAGTTAAGGGTGTGTCCTTTTATGTGGTTGATAATTTGGAGGGAAGGAATTCCACTTCATAGTTTGATTTTCTTCTTAAATTTTTATCTTTATTAGTATGCACTTGTAGTACACAGTGATAACATTCATCATAGGGAGTTGGTACATATACATGACATATTTTCACCCTTTTTATGGCACCTTTCCCTCCCTCTTCTTTCCCTCTCCCTAAATCTTTTTTTTCCCCTTTCCATTTGCAAAAGGTCTAGCTCACTGTTGTGGCTGATAATTTTAACCACATCCTGCAAAACATTAGGTTCAGATGACAATTTTTGGCTCATCAGCATTTCTCTGTGACTGGCACAGTAAGCAGACTCACATTCAAAGTTATCCCTTTGACCAGAGTAATGACATCAAAAACCTGTCATGGTATCTTCCCCATCCATGCATGTACTGGTACAAAATGATCAATTTAGTTCTCCTAATATGTAATTATTCCAACTTGAATAAATCTACAGCTGTGGTGTTGGTGGACAACAAAAATGCACATAATATACCCCCACACACATCATCCTGAAACATGTCTAACACAAACAAGGCTTGTTGCTTTGTTGACAACACTGGTAGAACTGGATTTCATATCACAGGGACTCTCATTGATCCTCTCTAAGGATCACCCCTCAAGTATCCTCTACTATTTCATCAGCTTGTCTACTTAGGGTGCCAACCAAAAATGGAATATGTGCCACCATTTGCACTGCAGCCTTCCTAAAAGTTCATGACGAATGTCCTTAGCAGCACGCACAATCAACTTTTCACTAACAGTGAAGGGCTTCTTAGCTTTAGCAATGCGGTCAGCCATAAAGAAGCATGCTGCAGGGGCCTGGGGATTTAGCTCAGTGGTGCAAGCACCTGCCTGGCAAGTATGAGGTTGTGAGTTTGATCCCTGATAACACCAACAAGAACAACAAAAAGCCACTGATGCTTCAGAACAGACATATTTGCTGAAGCAGTGGCCTTCAGTAATTGCTTCTGTTCTTCACGTCCACATTTTTTCTTTTGGAAAACTCCAGGTTTACTCTTTTGTTCAACTGCAGCCTCTTGGGTGTGTAAGGCGGGTAGTGCTGCTATTTCCCTGCTGCCAGCACTTTTATAATATTAGCTGGAATCAATCCCCTCAGCTTTCTGTAGAGATTTATAAGTTACAAAGTGCTTGTGCTGGGATTTACAAAAAGAAGAGAGACCACATTAGTTTTCACCTTTGAATTAGTGAAGTAAGCATAATCATTTCCCTTATTCATAAGGAAATTATGGTCCTGGTACAGAATTCCTGGAAAATCATCACTGGAGCTTGAATTGTGTTTTTCTGATTATGTCTGCAATGATCTTTCTGTCCTTGCAATCGGGATGGTCCTTGTTCATTTTACTTAATGACAGATATTTATACCCAGGAAACACAACCATTCTTACTAGAAAGAGTAAAACTGTCACTTTCATTTCATGTTGTTCTATACATATATATATATATTTTTTTTTTTGGTCTTTTTCCTTTTTATCGGTACCAGGGATCGAACTCACGACTGCCTGCTTGCAAGGCAGGCGCTTATGCCGCTGAGCTAAATCCCCAGCCCCTATTTTGTTTTGTTTTGTTTTAGGATGATATATTTCAGCAGGTCAAGCACTCAAGCTGGGTGTTCTGGATAAAGTTGTGAATTCAGATCATGTTGAAGGAGCAATCAGATTTACCCAGAGGATTTTAGGTAAGAATATAATGATAGTGGGCTGGGGATTTAGCTCAGTGGCATAAGCGCCTGCTTTGTAAGCAGGCAGTCGTGAATTCGATCCCCGGTACCGATAAAAAGGAAAAAGACCAAAAAAAAAAAAAGAATATAATGATAAAGTAGCACAAAATTGGGAACAAGGTAAATGTCCATTTTTAAAAGGACATGATTTTAAAAGGACATATTCTGTGCAGTTTTAATTGCACCTTAAATCTCCTCTGGGACATTCATGTAATAGACTATGATACAACTCTAAAATGAATGTACTGGAACCAGAAATATAGCTCAGTGGTACAGTGCCTGCCTGGGAAGCACAAGGTCATGCGTTTGATTCTCAGTACCTGAAAAATAAAATGTACTGATATGGCATAAACCCTTGGGTATGTTAAGTGATAAAATCATTATTGTATTTGGCATAACAGCAGGGATGATGTAACAGAATGTACATGGAGAGAATGTATAAATGCAACTGTTGGTTTATGCATAAAATATTTATGCATGAATGCACAAGATTTATTATGGTTGCTTCTGAGTATGGTACTAAGTCAGCAAGCAGAAGCATTTGAAAGGGGACTTTTTACAATTTATTCTTCTGTACTTTTGGAAATTTTTATCACATGAGTGTTTTTCCAACTAAGAAACAGAATTAAAGTAGAAGCAAAAGGTGGGCACACGCACGCGCACACACACACACACACACACACACACACACACACACTCACACACATTAGCCTGCAGAAGACAGCTTGGCAACGCCCCATGCTAAGTCTGACTCTGTAGCTTCTCTCTGCTGACCACACCACATCGCTGTCCAGGGCTTTTTGCTTTATAGACTTAGGATGTTTTCACCTTTAGGTGTTCCTTTAGTGGTGTGCCAGGAGTTTGTCTCATTTTAAACTCTTTCTTCTCAGTCTGTGGAGGCTGTCAGTTTTATATGAGCAAGGAGGCATGGGGAAAAAGATCTAATAGAGAAAATTCCTGGGAGGAATGTGGAGATCAAAGCCTAAGACAGGGTAGGATGCTCTCTTGCTTGGCAAAGCTGAGAGGTTCACTCCAAGGGGTTCCTTGTAAAGGACGTGGTTGTGCTGATCCTGAAAAATGCCAAACACTTTCTTGGAATCTTTTTTTTTTTTCCTCTGGTGGTGGGGCTCCAGCCAGTTACTCTTTCAGTGTGTTAGTGATGCTTGTACAGGAGAGGCGAGGAACTATATGGAGAAAACACTGGTGACTCCTAAGGAGAGTTGGCAAGCGTTGCCCAGGTGGAAACGAATTCCTTGATGACTTTTCCTTCACCAGGCTGCATCATCGTACTTCCGGGCAGGGCTGCTTGCTTTGGTAGAAGTCACTTGGGTCATTTGGAGCAAAGGCTGTTTACATCTGAAAGTTCCCTAATCATTCTTTGGATTGGGCTCTAGGCAGCCCCAGATGTACCCTCCACGCCTGTCATTTTAGTTTGTAGAAGGCCTCAATTTTGACAGCAGTTTCTTTTTACCTGCCCAATTTTCCTAGACTGTGATTTCAGAGTTAAATTTCAAGAGATGGATATGAATCATTGTGCAGTGCACTTAAAGCATGGGCTTCATGTTTTAAACTCATTTTAATTTGAATTACTTTTTATTTAATCTTCAACATTAAATTGAAATTTTTGGATGTATAAAACAAACGTTCAGTCTCAGCAACATTACAGAGTTTGTCCACTTGGTGGCATCCAAACATCAAGGCATTATCTGCCTGGAAACAATTCACCTAGCCAAGCTTTTTAATGGACAATCATGTACAGCTATTTAAAATTATAATCATCAAGAGTACGCAGAGATGTTTGAAATTCAGAATGCCCACAGGGTACCAGAATCAGCAGAACCAGAACTGACTGTGTGAAACAGCACTGATAACAAAGGATGATTTTAATCTGTGACTGTGTCAGTGGGACTGCATTTGCCTAGCGTGCATGAAGCCCTGGGTTCAATCTACAGCACTTGGAGAAAAAATGGGGAAAAAATAATTATTCTTTTCTGTTTTGTTTCCCAGGCAAGAAAATCATTTTTGTCCCCCGTTTGGGACTATCTATTTCTTATGGCAATTTAGTTAAAAATATTTTAAAGCCAGGCGTGCTAGAATACACCTGTAATCTCACTGTCTGGGAGGGTGAGGCAAGGGGATGTCAAGTTTGAGCCCAGTTTATGCAATTTAGCATGATTTTGTCTCAAAATGAACATTAAAAAAGAGCTGGACCCTACACTACAGTGCACTGGCACAGTACTTGCATAGCATGGATGAGCTTCTAAATCTATCCCTAGTAGAAAAAAAGAGGTAAGATTCCTGATGGTATAAAAAAAATGTTTTAAATATAAATTTACAGGGCCAGATGTGTAGGTCAGTGGAAGAAGTCTGGCCTAGCAAGCTCAAAGCTTTGGATTCAATCCTTACTACCATAAAAAGTATATTTAACATAGAGTGTATATAAATGCAAAACCTTTACAGAAATAAGCACAAATTAAAAAGCAATAATTTTCCCCCAAAATCGCTTCAATAATTTTGGCCTTTTAAATTTTTTTCTGACCTACTATGTATTAATTTTATTTCACAATTATTTTTTGGTGTTATTTCTATTTTTTTCAGCTCTACATGTTTATTTATTTTGTAGCTCACAATTGGTTTTACTTGGGATTCTAGAATTTAGCAGTTCTCAAGCAGACATGGTTAAGAATGACCCCTTGGTTTCTTTGCTATACAATGGACACACAAGTAAAATCAGCCACTGTAACTGAAGAGTCGTACATGCTGGCAGTAGTGTATGTAACCACTCTTGGTTTCCCCTTTAGACTGTCACAAGTCTTCTTCTTCTTTTTTTTTTTTTTTTTTTTTTTTTTTTTTTCTTGGTAGCGGGGATTGAACTCATGACCTCGCGCTTGCCAGGCAGGTGCTGGGCTGCTGAGCTAAATCCCTAGCTTTTTAAAAGACATTATTACCGTTTCTCTTGGGTCATTACCTGAGAATGATTTTGCTGGGTTATAAAGTAAGTGTGTGACTAACTCTGAAATGTGTTTAAAACTTGATTAATGAAAAACTATTAGTGATTGAGGCCCATGAGGTGGGCCTCACTGGAAACCAGCATCATGGCCTCTGCCCCAGTCGGGGGCAGCCACACCCAAGCCTCTCTCCATGAGACAGCATCATTCAGGTCTGTGCAGGGAGAGAAAACCTGCCTGAAAACGTATCATTTTCATTGTTTTCTTCGGTTGGGTTTTATTCTCTTTTGTTTTGTTTGATTATGTTAAATCTGGTGGAGTGAGCAGCTGTTTCAAAGATAGCGAGACATATTATGGTAGCCATTTTGGATTTACTATGAGCTTATTTTGAAGTCCTTTATTGTGTTCATTGTTTTGTTTTTATTAATTCTACTCTATTCTGTTCTGTTCGATTTTTGCTTGTCTGAAGGTATCTGAAGCTATTTTGAAGACAACAAAAGGCATTATGGTAGCTATTGCTGATTTTGTAAGGTTCTGAAATCCTATATCACTTATAATAGTTTATTTTGATTCGTTTTATTCTGTTTTATTTTCCTTGGCTTTATTCTCTAAAAAAAAATATTAGTGATTTAAAAGCAGTTAGTTATACAAAGCAAATAAGAAAAACTAGAAAACAGAATGTGACTTGTTCTCTTCTTGATAATTTACTGTACAGAACTAATCACCAGTGCACAAAGATTGGAGCATAGTGATGATCACTGAAGCTTTTTCATTATAAAATATTGGAAACAACTCAAATATCTACTTTTTGAGTGTTTATTATCCAAAAATGGTAGATCTCTATGGATCAACTCCTTTCAGCCATTAAAGCTTCCATTTTTAAGATCTTGGAAATGTTTAGGTAAAGAACAAGGAGATATGACAGATTTTTAACACTGGTAATACAGGGGCAAGAGCTAATGAAGATTTTTGAGTTTTAAAAGACTCAATGTTTTGCTAGGGATGAGCTCAGTGGCATAGCACCTGCCTGGCAAGTGAGAGGTCCTGAGTTTGATTCCTGGTATCAAAAAAAAATCAATCTTTCCTATAAAAATCATTAAATTCATCCAAGGGAAAGAGGAAAGCCTGCTTAGTATAGAGGAGGTGCATTGTGGCAGAGAAATGGGCTGAGGACTTTATGTCAAAAGACACGAGCTCCTCTCCATCATAGTCATGTGGACCACAAGCAATCTTTTGGGGGGCTTTTTTTTTTTGTACCAGGAATCAAACTCATGACCTTGCACCGCTAGGTGCCACTGAGCTATATCCCCAGCTTCAAACCACAGTCTGAGAGCACAAAGGCTATAGTAACCTGACTCCCAGTGTTTGGTCCTTGCTACATCCAGAGCGGCTCTCCTGGGCCTATTTTGGAGTTTAGTGATTCGAATCCCTTGGAAAACTCATCTAAGACTTGCTCTGTGTTTGTACCAGAGGTAGAACCGAGCGTCTGGTGAATGTTAGACTCCTGACCAAACACTTGGCCATGGCCCCAGCCACTCTCATTGTTTTCCTCTGAGGCACTAAATTGCCCTGGTTGGCTTCAAAGTCTGCCTAAGTCACCCCGCTGCTAGGATTGTAGGTGCATGCCAGCCCACCCAGATTCTTTGTTTTCAGATACAGTTATTGGTAGGCAGTCCTTTGGCAAAACAAAATTTATATCCTAACTTGATACACAGGTTCCAGAAAATACTAATATGCTGATATTAAATATATTTGGATTTGTTATGTTTAATGTGCAAATCTATATTCCTATGAAGCCAATGCATTTGTCTTGACCCAGAACAATCATTCTCCAACCTTACTATGTATCAGAATCTTTGGAAACCTAGATTGTAGCGCCCTCCTCATTATGACTTAGTGCATTTACGATAGGGACCAAGAAGTTGCATCTCTAACAAGTGCCCAGGTGGTCTCAATCAATGTTGATCTTTGAGAGCCATTGACATACGTAGAAGAAACAAGGACGAGACTGGAGATAATATTTTCTGGTTGTCACTTTTCCCACGTGGCACACAAACACTACAGATAGTCTTAAAGATATCAGTAAGTCAGCTACGAAAACCATGGCTAAAAAACTGCGTGGCATTTCTGGTTGCATACATTATGTCTTGATTTTAAAAGTATGTGTGGGTAGAAATCTTTTGTGTTTCCTTTTTCTATTTGTGAAAATACTGCATCAGTTCATCATGTTTCCACTGCCCCTACTCAAGTGGGTAAACGAAAGAGGGGAAATGATTAAAACTCAGTTTCCGGGGAGAGGAGGGAATTCCCAATGCTCTGTGTAGTCAGCACTTTGGAACCAGTTATAGACGGAAAGCGAGTGTAGAGAAGGTTACTTATCTACAAATGTGATTAGGAGAGTCTGCAGGTTTCTCTGCACACTCCACACTGTGTCCTGGAGGGCTGACTGTGGAAGCTTTTTACATCTTCATTTCCTTGTTATATGAAACCCCTAAGGCTACTGCAGTACAACAGATTTAGCAGAGCAATGCAGAATTACTTGGCCAAATCAGATTGCTTAGGCTCCACTGCGGAGCGGAAGGGTCCTGTAAAATGCCAGTCCTTCGCTCTTGCCTGTGGCCAACAGCTGTCCCTGACCTGGACTAAGAACTCCTGGTTCCCGCGTGCAGGTTTCTGGTATGAGCTGGAAGTGGGTGCCGCTATTCAAAGACCAAGAGCATCCGGGCTCTATGCACACCTTTCCCAGGAGGGATGGGCAAGGGAAGCAGCCCCTGGGAGCCTCAGGTCAGAAGGCTGATGCTCTGCTGTTACCCCTGTAATGAACCCTGACCCGATTGCTGTGGCTGTGCTGGAGTTGTGTCAGTGTTTTTTTTTTTGTACCAGGAATCAAACTCAGGATCTTGCGCTTGCCAGGCAGGCACTTGTGACACTGAGCTGTATCCCTGGTCCATGTGTTAGTTGTCTTTATTGGTCCTAATTTTGCCCAAAGCCCTTGGTCCATTTGTTCATTTGGATTTTGTGACTTTTGAAAAATCTTGTTGGTTTCCTTGGTCTTTGTTTTCATTTTAATTTTGTTCTCTGTAATTTATTTTTATTCTTGTGAACGTTTATAGGAATGTGTTTCAAAAAAGTGACCCTGTCTCACGTGGGAGGCCTTAGCACATGTCTACATTGAGCTTCCTCTTGACATTTTGTGAAAATGCTGTTGTCCTCTCTGTCCCAGCAGAGCCTCCAGGATGGATGCTGTTATCAGAGTTAGGGTTGAGACAGACCTTTGTCTCTGCACTATCTGTGAGTACCTCTATAATTCAGGAAGACAGAGTCTTTCCCTGTCCAGTGAGCAGCTAGAAGCAGAGAAAATAATCACCTTTTCCTCTTCCTTCAGAAGCACAATTTACCTGTGCTTTATCATAATTTTAATCCACTTCTGTCTCAGAGGACCTCAGAGAATTAAGTTAACGCGAATGAACCAAGGAGAGAATTCAATTAATAAGTCTATTTGAATCACTAGGAAAAGCCATTCTCTGACTGGATGACAGTTGTTCTCTTCCGATGTGGATGCTGCTGAGGGAAGGGATGCTTTTTGACTCATAGCTCTGTCAAAACTTTAACAATTTAGTAAAAGGCAAAATAGATCATCCTCAACATGCTACATAATGAGCAAAGTTTTTTAAAAATACAAAGAGGCTAAAAAAGAAGCATTCCGTCCAATCTTGGTCAAACTAACTTTTAGATCATGTAGTGTAAAAAAAGTACTTCCAAAACAACCATTCCTGTTGACCCAAAGAAAATATTCTCAATATATTTCACAGTAATAAACCAGACGTGGAAATAATAGCCTCCTTTCTTTACAGCCACATTCAGAAGCAGATAGGAAATGAAGCCGGAAAACCCAGCTTTAATTGTGTCCTGAGCAAACTTCTCTAATGGATGTACTTAGGTCTGGCCCAAAACTGGCCTGGACAAGTACCTTAGATACTTCTCAAAAGGCCCATTAACGTTCTGAGAGTTTCCGAAGTGTCCCTGGACAACAGTGTTATACTGATGAGAAATGATAATAATGACTATTAAATGGGCTGTTCTGATCCTTTCTGTTTTATATTCTTGTTTTCTCTTCTTCTTCTTTTCACTGTACAGCCTAGAACCAACTTATCAGGAATGACGGCCATCTTTATTGTAGTGACTAGTACAACTTCCTGCTCTTGGACCCCCAGCAGCAAGAGCTCAAAAGCAACTATGGAATTTTTTAAGAGTTTTGCCCCATCCTTAAACACCTTCACTGAGTCTGTATGGGGCATAGGCAGAATTGCTTTAAGTTCTCCTGATAAGTCTGGGATGTACGGTGTGTCACAAGCCATCTCTATCATAATTGAGCAATACTGCCATTGCTAGGAGAGTGCTCCAGCTCTTAGACGTCCCAGAGCCATCCGCCATGTTCCAGGCATGGAGGGCACCCGCCATCTTTCCAGGCCACAACACTGACACCTCCGCTTTCTCCCTTCCACTGGCTCCTCCTCACACTTACCTTGTCCTTCCTCCTCTCTCTGCCATCCTCTCTTATCCATCTTTTAGGCCACCAGGGAGTGAAAGAAGTTGTAGACCCTGGACGGTTTTCATCCTTTTCTGCTGAGCTTTTCTTGCCACACATTGCGGACTGGGCTGATTTACTGTGTGGATTAGTCAGGGTTCACTAGAGGAACAACATCAATATAAAATACATGTACAGGTATACAAAGGATGTATCAGGTAGGCTTGCGGGATCAGAAGAGGAAGAGTTCCACTGGCCATTGTGGGGAATCACCTGGGGAACTCTCCCTGAAAGAAGATAACTGTCTCCATTTTGGATACACTTGGCCCTGTCTCCATGTATTGATGTGTGCAGAGCTGCCCAGGATATTTCTTTGTCCCTTTAAGCAATGTAAACTGGGGGGCTGAGGAGCTGATGTGCCATCTCTGAAGCAAGGTGACAGTCACCGTTTCCTTGCCCAGTGACTCCCAGAAAATCACGGTTGAGCTGGGTGGAATGGAGAGCCATGTTCCACGCTGTCAGCTGGAACTGAAAGCTTTGACTTCCCAGGGCAGAAAAGATTGTCCATCAGAGCTGAAGCACTGACCCCAAATTATTAGATACTAACTCAGTTGTGTTATGCAGATTACTCTCTGCATTTCTTGCCCTGTGCATACCGCAGAGGTGATTTCAGACCTCCTACCTGGCCCAGCTCATGTGGCAGTCACACATTCCTCATTGTCACTCATGCTTGAGCTACTCCCTGCATTAATACAACCCAGGTTGGGTCTGGGTCTTTGTTCCAGTGAACCATCATCTTGGCTGGGCTTAGGACCTTCTTGGCTCCCCATAACTATAAATATGTCTTAGTGTCTTTATGCTCATCTTGGGTTGCACTGGAAGTGGCAGATTGGGATTAATTTACTAGAATTCCAATAACGTTCCCATGGGATTACAAATATAAACTTTCTGGACCATGAGAAGGATGTGAAAGGGCTCACTATAGACCATCTGTGGAATCAAAGACAGAAGAATCCAAAATGGCCATCAACACTTCAAAGGCAAAGATGAGCCCTTCTCTGAAGAAAAAGGGGAAGCTTCTTTCTTCTTTCCCTTTTTATTCCATTGAGGCTACAAGCCTATTGGTTGTGGGTCTTCCCTACTCAGCTTTTGGCCTATGTCAACCAGCTACAAACACATTCAGAGCTTTACTAATCTGCTAGGCATTTCTTCCTCAAGTCAAGTCGATGTATTACAATTAACAATTGCCCTGGGTAATTGAACAAGCAAACACTGGGCCTGTTGGGTATAGTTCATGGTTCACTGGGCACAGTTCATGGTTCTCCAAAGGAACAGGGTAAGCAGAGACCTCATGCTGCCGACCCCTGGTTTTCCTCCTTTCCTGAATATTCTTCTTTGCATCATCAGGGACACCCATTTAGAACCTCATTCTCTTCAACTCTATAAGTAATTACACAATGAGAAATATTTTTTAAGAACGGTCCTTGCCCCTTACCTTATAAAAAGAGGAGATGAGATTATGCAAAGCCTCATGTGCGCTTAACAATTCACAGACCATGTTCACTCTCCCTTGCATACACCTGAACACACTGGTGTGGGATGGGTTTGCGTCCACGTATGTTTCTACAGTGGAACTCCATTACAAGGTAGGTTTTCTGTCTAAATAGTGGAGATACACTTTTATACAATGGTTTAATCTGGAGATGGTAGCACTCTACAGAAAACAGTTCTTACTGTGCTGAAGTTTTGGTAACTGTAACTTATCACACATTGTTTTATGCAAACTTTAGAATCCTGTTGTTGAGTTAGTTAATAAAATATAAAACCATACATGTTTTGGTTAGAATTTCCTATACAATACACATGGAAAATATTTTTTTGTGCTATTAAATATTTATATTCAGACACATGGAATCTTTCTTTATTAAGATTTTATTCTATGTCTCTGTATAAAATGTTATATTTATCTTCTGAAAATTCTTGTTACCTCTTTTTTTGGGGGGAGGAAACCTGGGATTGAACTCACAAGCTTGCACTTGCCAGGCAGGCACTTATGCCACTGAGCTAAATCACCGGCTCTCTTGTTACTTCTTTTGATTAATTCATTTCTAGATATATTTTAGCAACTTATGAGGTATAGGTACCTATTGATTTTGGCAGCCTTCTCGATAAATGAGTTTAAAAACTTATCAGTGAGTATGGTGACCATGCTTGTAATTCTAGCACTTGAGAGGCTGAGGCAGGAGGATTACTGCCATTTCAATGCCAGCCTGGACTACACAGTGAAACCCTGCCTCAAGAAACTAATAAATAAATACATAAATATCTGTTTACTTCTGCCAAAAGTTCCTTTCTACCTATTAGAGTTAATTCTCATTCACACTCCAAACCTAAATAACCACTAACTTTCTGTCTCCATAGATTTGCCTTTTGTGAGCATTTATGTATCATCTACTATGTAATCTTTTGCATCTGGCATTTTTCAGTAAACCTAATGTTTTCGAGCCTGGCATGTGTTGTAGCATGTGTCAGAAGTTTGTTCCTTTACATTACTGAAGAGCAGTCAAGGATGTAACTATAAAACACTTTCTTTATCCGTTCAGCAGTTGGTGGACATTTGGGTTGTTTCCAGTTTTGACTATCGCGATGAATGTTGCTGTGAATATTTACATACAGATTTTGCACAAACACATGCTTTCTTGGGTAGAGTCCTAGGGGTGAAGTTGGTGGGCTGAATGTTGAGTTTATGTTTACATATTTAAGAAACTATGAAGCAGTTTTCCAAGATGGTGCGCATTTTACATTCTCACAAGCAGTGTTTGAGGATTCTAATTTCTCCACATTATCTATATTTGGCATTGATGTCTTTTTTATTGCACTCATCATGGGTCTGCATTTGTTATGTATAGTTATGGAAAACTGTGTAGCAATCTACCCCAAAACTTTGTGGACTAGTGGCTTAAAAATCAAACATTTGTAGAACAGTTTCCTTGAGTCAAGGATTCAAATGTGGTAACTTGGTTCTCTAGCTTTAGGAGTTTATTCAAGCCTGCAGTCCATAGGTAGGCAGTGGCCAGTTTTGGTGGCCTCGGCCATCTTCAGGCTGACTGCAGGAGAGCCTGTTTGCAGGAGCACGCCCACTGCTCTTTGTAGGATCCAACTCTTTCTGTGCTGTTGAACCAGATTTCCATTCCTCACTGGCGGTTGGCTGAAACCCTTTCTCAGTTGTCTGCCATGCAGGCTTCACCACCCTTTGCCAGGGCAGCTCACAACCTGGCAACCTGGCTTCCTGTGCAATGAGATGGCAGGAGATTCTAGCAGGGGACTTTTTGTAACCCAATCTTTGAAAAGACATTTCATTACACTGTATCACATTCATTGTGCTTTTAATTTGCATTTCCCAAATGAGTAATGATGTTAAACTTTGTATCAGATGCTCATTACCCGTTTTTACAACCTCTGCTGAAATATGTACTTATATTTTTGCCTCTTTGAAAAGTTGTTTGCTTTTTATTGAATTATAAGATACAAGCTCTTTATAAATTCTAGATATGAGTTCTTTAGTAGTTATTTGAGGTGCAAACTGTATTTGTTTTCTGCAACTATATAATATGTTACTAGCAGTTTAAACAACACAACTTATTATCTCAGGGTTCTGTAGGCCTGAAGTCTGGCAGAGGTCTCACTGGACTGAAATCTGCTGCTGGTGGTGCTTTCTGGAGGCTCTAGAGGAGAATCCGTTTCCTGCCCGTGTGGGTTGTTGGTAGAATCTGCTACCCCTGCATTATAGGATCAAGTTCCCCGTGGTCTGGCTATGTGTAAAGAAAGTGATTCCCAGATTCTGAGAGCTTCTGGGTCCCTTTCTTCTATATTACAAGTTGCTTCATTGGCCAGATGTCATTTCACATGCTCGTAATTCCAATTACTTACTCTTGTGGCTGAGGTAGGAGGGTTGCAAGTTCAAGACCAGCCTGGGACCCTGTGGCCAAATGAAAAATAAACGAAAGGCCGAGGGCTGTAACCCTGGTAGAGCACTTGCCTCGCATGCAGGAGACTCCGGGTTTAGTCCTCTCAGTCCTGGGGAGGAGGAAAGCTGTTTTTAGCCACCTACACAAGCCATCTCTCTGGTACTTTGTGGTTAAGTGTCTCCTGCCACAGTTTTGGTTAGTTTCAGCTTACCCTGATAATAGAGGGTACATTCCCCCACTTTGAGGGTTTTATCCTTAGTTACACCTGTAGGTTCCTTGTGCCATGGAAGCTTACACAGGTTTTGGGTTAGAATGTGGACACTTGTGGAGAAGCATTACTCTGCCTTTGACTCAGATATTTTCTCCTCCTCTTTGGCTCTTCATTTCCTTTTTTAAAATGCCCTTTGAAGAACATGCATTAAGTTTTTGTGTTGACTAATTTTTCCTTTCATATGTCATGTTTTCAGTATTGCATATAAGAAGACATTGCCTAACTTAAGGTCATAAAAATGTTTCGTTTCTTCCAGAAATTTTCATAATTTTAGGTTTTCAATGGCTTTATAACTCACTTTGAATTAGTTTTTATATATAGTTCTAGATAAGGATTTAAGTTTATTTCTTAATTAATTCCTTTACTTACTTATTTTATATGTGGATATTTAATTTTTCCAGCACCTGTTGTTCAGAACTCTTCTTTTACCCAAGAAGAAAACCTGGAATTGTTTTCCACCTGTGTCAAAAATCACTTAGTGCTAACTGGAAGGATTTATTGAGGTACTCTCAATTCTCCTCCAACAATTTCTGTGCCTACCCTTGTCTTCATGTCCTCCTACCCCCTTTTTACAAGTATGTTAAAGGTTTTGTTACTATTACAAGAGGAGCTGCGATAATTTTGAATCTAAAACATTGACTCAGAATTATTTTCTTTAGATTCATTGACAGAATATGTTAGAAAATCATCTTGTCCTTGGAACAAAAAGAAAATGGATCTTTTGTTCCTGAATTAGGTGACTTAAAATTCCTTTTCATTTCTTAAATTCTGTCTTATAAGACCAAATTGCAACAATGTCAGAGATTTTGGTGTTAGTATTCATCTTAATAGTATTTTGTTTGGTACTTTGAATTTGAGCCAATTATTGTTGCTGTTATTATATAATCCTGTTCCCTTTGTGTAAACTACATTTTTAAAGCTTTCTTTCTTTCTTTTTTTCTTATCTAAAGTAATAACAATAAAATTTACTTGAATCACAAACCTGAACTTGGTCAGGCTTTGCTATGGCAACTCATGACTGTTCAGAATTTGTCACTCAGACAGCTCAGCTGGGCCATTTCCAAGATGGTGCCCTCACTGGCCAATTACCTTTGGGCCACCATTAGTTAGAACTCAAATGGGACTGCCGGTAGGAGGGCTTTGTTTTTACCTGTGTGGACCTCTCTGTAGGATCTAAACTCTGATCTTCCTTACTCCTTTCACATCAATCTCTAGAATCCTTAGCAAGCCAGTTCCCAGCCTTCCCAACATGGATACCATTTTCAAGTTCATCTTTTGTGAAAAAGCAGAAGCAGCACAATGGGTACCTTGCTCTGGAGACCAGTATCTACTCAGTCCAGGCCTCCGTGAAGTATTCCTACGAAGAAGGCATCAAATTTGCAAAACAAATTTTATATAGTTTTGGCAACTATAAGAGATCTTCTGTTTTGCTGTTTTGCCTCATGTAAATAAAAGTTAAGGACCTGGAGGGGAAGGAGATGTAAACAGAATGAAGATACACCATGTACATATACCAACTACCCACAATGACTATATTCATTACATACCTCAAACGTGTACTAATAAAAAAAAAAAAACAGTACAGGGCCTGGTCAGCCCAAAAACATGCATCTAAATGTTGACAGCAGAATCAGAACCAACTAAAATGCTCAGTAACTGATTATGCGTAAGCAAAATGGGCTCTGTCCATGTGCTGTATCTTATTCAACCATAAAAAGAAATGGAGAAATGACAACACTACAGTGCAATGCATGTTGAAAGCCATATGCTAAGTGGAAGAAACCAGTCATAAAACACCCAGGATTATACAGACATTTATATGAAATGCCCAAAATAGGCAAGTCTTCAGAAACAAAAAATAGACTAGTGATTGCCTGAGGATGGAATTATTGGAGGTAGAGAATACACTTTTAAAAAAAAAATCAATCTTCATCATTCAAAGGGGTAAGTTATTTGATAAGTGAATTATATCTCTGTAAAGTTACTAATAACAAATGATATTAAAGTCGATGCTCTTCAGAGTGATATGTATAAAATGTTTTCACAATAGTTTCTCTTACAGACCCAAAGTTCTCCAAGGTCCTGAAGGAGCCAGTTGCAGTGGTTAGAACCCCAGGTGCACATTTAGACCCAGGCACTTGGAGGGTGAGGCAGCTCCTTGAGCTCTAGGAGTTCAAGGCCAGGATGGACAACTTAGAGAGATCTTCTTGTCAAACAGAAAAAAGTCCCAATGGAGAAACGCTGAACTAGTGGAGCATATGTTTTCCATTGTAAAAAACAGCAACAAACCCACAAACTTTATCTGGCATTCTGTTCAATTGAGAATAATTTTTGAGGTGTATACCGCTAGATGGTATATAATTTGATTTTGAAATTTAAAACATCAGTGGGGGAAGCTTTTGAAAGTACTAACTTTATTTCCTAAGTGATTTATTTTCAAATTGATGTAGAAAAATATGTTTACTTTTCCTTCTTCAAAACTTTAAACAATTTTGAGTTCTTAAAACTTATTTTCTCCCTGCATGAGTTTGAGGTTTGGAAACTAGAAAGAATGTAAATAGATTTTATAAGTCAGTAACCCCTAAAATTTTATTATAAAGTTTATGTATGTGTTTTTGAGAGCATTTCTCGGAAGAGGTTTCATATCTTACAGCGTACTAGTAAGTATATTTGGGTTTTTTACATTTTAATTTTTATTAGTGCATGTTTGCAGTACATAATGATTACATTCATCATGTATTCTTATATCACAAAAGCACAAATCTAATATATTAGGTCCTGCCTATAATAGTAGTTAATATGATAAAAGATTTTAGGATATCCTCTGTGGACCTTGAAAATGCCTTGCTTAAAAATCTGGTTTTGGGGTTGGGGATTTAGCTCAGCGGCATAAGCGCCTGCCTTGCAAGCAGGCAGTCGTGAGTTTGATCCCTGGTACCAATAAAAATGAAAAAGACAAAAAAAAAAATTCTGGTTTTGCTGTTGATAACTTTAAAACTACCCATCTTTGCAAAAAAAGAACCGTGCGAACAGCTTTGGAAAATGTCTTCTAATGTAATTGATGCTGATGAGCATTGCAAATTGTAAACACCCTTGAAGCTTTGTCCTGAGACTCTAGCTTACAACATGGTACTACTGACCTGTAGAAATCAGGGATTTCTACGGTCTTCCGTGTGTTTAAAATAAACATGAAGCAGTCAAGAAGTGTTGCAGATTTCCTAGATTATTGGAACCTTTTGGTAGCCATTGGTGAGAGTAATCTAGATCAAACTCTTTGGAATGTGTTTAGAAAAGTTTTTGGCAAGACCAGAATAGTTTCCAGCTATTCTTAGGAATGTCAGGGCCATCTGTTTATCTTGCCACCTTAGACATATTTTAAGGTTTAATAGGCAATTTATGTGGCTTCTGGGCAAGACAACAACAGTGCGGCACTCCAGGGACACCTTTCAAACCTTACACCAGCGAGTTGTCATTCAGATAGAAATAAAGTGACTGACACCCCCGAGAGTTGTGCCCTGCCCAGTATGGTTAGCAGAGCACTGTGTGAGGAGGAGTCATGCCAACAACAATTCTGCGGATCGCTGTAGAGAACGCTGGTCCATAATAGCAATGGGAAAATCTCCATTTGGTTTAAGCCTCCAGCTGGACCACATATTTTGGAAGTGATCACATGTAATTTATTTTAAATATTTCTTTTTCTAGCATCTGGAGAAAAAGGAATGTGAGAGATATGAGCAGGACTTTGAATTTTTGTCCCAAGAATTTTAGGTTGTTTTAATTTTAATATTTCCTTTCTTTCACTCAATTTAAGGTAGCCTGCCAGAATAAGTGCCTGAGAACATCTTGTAGAACGACATGAGCGAGCTGATGGAATGTTCTCTGTGCACATTTCCACTGTACAGAGGGTTGTTATCTAGTACGATGCAGAAGCAGTTGCTAATTCTGGCCATAATGTGGTGTCCTTGGGATAAGGTTACAGCCCACAGTCATAAATGCACTTTGGATTTCCAGAGTTGGCCGAGGCCTGGCGAGTTGTTGATTGGTAAATTTGGGCAGAGACCATCATCCAGTGTTACTCTTCTACTGTAGTGATAAACATCCCTCTCCATAGCCAACCACAGTGTTGCCCAGAATCCACAACGTCTTTCTCACTTCCTTTTGTGTCAGTCATGGACACATGTTCTATAGAAGGGGATGTTGGTGGGGGTCTCCTGGAGCAGCTCGGGGATGTGTTCCTAACAGATGAGCGCGTCTTTGCCCAATTCTTTTGTTTATCACTTCCTTCATCTCGCTGCCAGAAACACAGACATGTGGCTGGAGTTTTCCCCATTGTTCAGGCCCTTGATGATCAAGGCCGTATTATAGAATAGAGAGTAGCAAGAAGTTATATCCCCGGGGCCCTCAAGGTGTATACTCCTGGAGTTGCCACTCCAGATCACTTTTCATTAGTCACTGAAACAGAAATCAACTCCTGTCACCAGTACAAAGGCATTATGGAGCCAGGTGTGGTGACGCAGTCCTGTAATCCCAGCACTCGGGAAGCTGAGGCAGGAGAATCACTGTGAGTTCAAGACCAGCCTGGGCTACAAAGTGAGCTCAAGGCCAGCCTGAAGTTCATATTGAGACTCTGTCTCAAAAAGCCAGTATGGCAGGTCTTTAGTTATTCACAGTTGTCTTGAATCAGAGTTGATGAGGGTATGTTTTAGGAATTAGAGGTCCCTTAATTTATTTATTTTTCATTGTACCCTAGGTAATTCTGATGCAGTTTCAACAATCTGAGCTTACGAAACAGAATTCTTGCTTCAAGAGGAAAAGTTGGGGACCAAAGCAATTTCCTTCCACATGACGTTGAATTGCTCAGATATTTTTCTGTCATATTACTCATGGAATTGCTGTAGGCTGTTCATAGAGATGCCCACTGTGAACCCAAGGGTAAGTGCTCACATTAATGTTTAATAGGAAATGGTCTCAGAGGCCTGTTTGAATCTCAAATTGACTTCTCCGTAATTACTGATAAAAACACTTACAATGGAAGTATGTTCTGTCATAGAGGGGTTCAATAATGGCCTGGTGGAAAAAAGGAGTCATTTGAAAAGCATTATCTCACAGAAGGGACCAAGAGAGAAATAACAAACTTCTATAGGTGACACAAACCGCTCCCTACTCGGGAGATCTCCAAACCCAAGGGAATGTGAGAGATGGTCCTGTAGCTGCAGGCAAAAAATGTTACAGCCACTATTACCACTTATTTTTTTTAATTCTTTTTTTTTTCCACTTATTTTCACCTAGAAAATAAGGGACTCACCTTGAGTGATACGTTGTGTGCTACAGTGCTGTGATCCTCGAGGTGGTAGCTTGGAAGCCAGCATATCAGGAATGAGGGCAAGTTCCAAAGTACACAGGAGCTGACGATGGGCTTCTCCCTCTTTCCCCTGCTCTCAGCATACTGAGAAACAGAGAAAATTGTGGGTACTGGGGTGAGCGAATCGCAAACCTCATGAATGCTTGAGATAAAGCACAATTGAAGATAAATAACTCAGGCTGCAGTGAATCCTAAGAAAGTGGCTGAGCTGAGAATACTGGAATCAGGATGTTACCATCTGTGTAAAAGGGGAGAATGATTTATTCAACCTGGAAAGAAGATGCCAAAAAACTTTAACATTACCCAGATTACCAGAGATATTGATCTATTGACCTACCATTCCTGAATGTGTATTGTCTTATGATATTAGCTAGTATCAGGAAACTATCCATTATCAAATGTTTTAATATATTACTTATTTCAGCTAATAACTCATAAGTTCTAAATTTATTTTTACTGCATATGTACTGTACATCAGTGTAACAGTAAAATTATATTATTTGTAAATTGATAATTGTCGGGGCTGGGGATTTAGCTCAGTAGCATAAGTGCCTGCCTTGCAAGCAGGCAGTCGTGAGTTCGATCCTGGTACCGATAAAAAGGAAAAAGACAAAACAAAACAAAACAAAAAATTGATAATTGTCCTATGTAGATATATACTAACAATTTACATGATATGCTACCCAGATCCCTTTTTAGCAATAGAAGATTTTTTTTTCCTTCCAGGTACTCTCACCCAAAGGGCTGATAGAAGTTGGGCTTCTTGGGGCATTTCCCCACTCAAAGTCATATCTTCTTCCTTGATTATCTGGCCCCAGTTCTGAAGGGCTGACATGGGTCTAAAGCTTCCGGTGACACTGTTCGGGCTGAGCCTTCATTGGTGCCGCATGATATATAGCTCAGTTTCTTCTTCTGTTCATTCCTGCTTCCCTTTTCTTTCATAAGGTTGATGAGAAGAGTACTCCCTAAAAAGACTAATCTCCATCTCAGAGTCTGATTTCTAAGGAATTCAACCCACAATGCTAGAAGCATGATGTAAAATGCTGGGAAACCGCTGGGCACAGTGGCACGTGCCTATTTTTATAACCCTATTATAGGTACTACAGGTATTACAGAAGCTGAGGCGAGAGGATCACAAGTTTGAGGTCAGCCTGGGCAACTCAGTGAGACCTTGTCTCAAAGTTATAAAACTTCTAAGAAGGGCTGGGGATGTAGCTCCATGGTGGAGCTCTTGCCTAGCATTCCTGAGGACCTGGGTTCTATGCCTTAATTCTGAAAAAAAAAAAAAAAAAAAAAAAGTTGGGAAACTATCAACCCTTATGTTCTCGACTCCTTTGTTTAATATTTGTTTAATATATTTCTTTTGATTGCATCATTGATTTTTATTCCATTCATTCTGGAAGAGAATGTACATTCTTTACTTGATGTAGGTGAGATTCTATTTCTAATCAAGCTGCTTAATCGTGTCAGTCAAGTTTTCTGCCTAGTCCTGCAGATGCTTCACCTGTAGTCCTGCCCACTTCTGGTGATCAGGGTCCATCACCAGTGCCAGAGTGGTGACTCCCCTGGCACAAAGCCCCATAAGTGTCTATAGAAGCAAAATTCTCCAAGAGGGTCACTGACAAAGTTAATAAAAAGGGCCACCTCTGCTTCCACTCTATGGTCTCTACAACCCTACATTCTACCCAGTGGCAATAGTACTATATCATGGCTATTCTGGAGGATTAACCCCATTCTGGAAGATGCTACCCCAACCTCTTGGGACACCACCACAAAACTGGTACCTTAGCAGAATCTCCAGAAACATATCCTATTGCTCCATGAGGAAGGTTACTGGCTTCTGGGTGGCACAGTATGTGATTAGATCAAACCATCCTGTGGCCGTATGCACACATTTGTGCTTATTTTGTACTTAAGGTTTGTCCTTTGATATCATGCAATATTATGTGAGGTCTTGTGTGCTTGGCTCTGGTTCTAAGTCCCTGGAAATGGTGCTGAAACAGTACAGTCAGGAAAGGAAAGCCTCTATCTGGAATATATGTCATTCCAGTCAAAATGGATCATGGATTCTACTGAATAGAAGCATTGTGATACAACTAACTTGTGACCAAGTGGTGAGTCCCAGCATGGAGCTGCAAATTTAACCTCTGGTCAACAAAGGTCTAGGCAGCAACTAGATGAGCCTTGGTGGGGAGGGGAGCCCATACTGTGCAGTTTATGCATAGCTTCACCCCTCCAACCATGCCCGCTCATGCCAGCACTATGGTGGGCAGGACAGTGACCAGTTGGTGACTCTAGTCTGTTTGGCTGTTTGTTCATCTTCAATAGCAGACATACTCTGGAGGTCACTGACCAGTGATTCACAGCTCTTCACACTTCTTGCTCACTCCCATAGGCCCATCCCTCAATTTCCCATTTTTACTGTGCCTTGCTGTCCACTATTTCTATTTGCAGACTCTGTTCGGAAACTGTCTGAGGTGTTTGCCACCATCCATCTAGTCTTACCTTAAGCCAAGTCTCTAGGTGTCAAGTACTGTCTTCTTCCACTCTGCCATGGAAATTTCTAGCATTTCTACTTCCCTAAATGTGTGCCTTCATTTTCTCCAAGCTTGCAAGAATCCGCCTAGCAATGTCTCCTGGAATTACAAGGCACTGAATGCTGCATCAGACAAGTGCTTCCAGGTCTACAGACTCTACCTGAGAAAGTTCCTGTTTATGATCCGCGACCCCCAGTCCAGCACTGTCACATACATACTCTCAGTTCCTGCAGTGTCGCCACTTCCTACAGCTCTGAAGGCGAACCCTATTTCTCCCTTAGTAGTCTCAGCACTTCCCTGTATAGATTATTTGGGAACTTACCTATAGTTACTGTTCTGATGGCCAGGAGGGACGTTGAGGGTTTCCTGAAGTGGGAATGGTTGGTGTGTAAGCTAGAAGCCTCTGAATTGCCTTGAGCCAGGTGGGGAGCAGAAGGGTTGAGCAGGAAAGCCCAGGGCACCTCCACAGACCCCAAATAATGGGATTTCAAAGTTTCAGGTTTCCTAATTCATTGACCCAAATGACCTCATCCTATTTTTTCCCAAACAGTACTTTAAGCTACACATACAAAGATGCCATGAAAATTCTACCTTCTCTAAAATTCTACCTCTGTTGTAATTAAGTCCTGGGTCTGACCTCTCTGTCTCCCCTGTGACTACAAGAAATGAGTCCTTCATATTCTTCCAGGGAAGTTTTCTGATGTCCACAGTTCATCTTACATCGGTAGTTAATCACCTTCGCACCTTTTATTATGTTTCCCTAGTATAAAAATAGCCCCCAGCAGCAGCCAACAGATTCCATGTAATTACAACTTCCTATAAACCTTTCAAATGCCTGAGATATTGCCCTCATTATCCTCTACCGATATTCCATCCCAGCTTCTCCACTGGTAACATTTTGCAGTCACAGCATGCCAAGAATTATGAAACTCCACTTGCTACCTGTGATGATATCCTTATTGGTGATTGACTGGTTGGTAATGCAGTTCCAAAATCCCATTTTAGGCTAGGGGTTTAGTTAAGTGGCATAAGCGCTTGCCTGGCCAAGCTCAAGGTCATGACTTTGATCCCTGGTACTGCCGGCCAATATCATTTTACAGTTTGCATCCTAGACATACTTCTGGTCTAGCATAGAGCAGTTTCCCCAGGCAAGAGGCTCTGAGGTAGAGGCATCCATGTGGAAAGACCACTGGTGAATGCCCTTGAGAACACCTGTAAGGGAGAGAAGAAAGCGGGATTGAACAGAGGGTGCTGAACTGTGCTGGAGATGGTGATGGAAGCTTCAGTGGGGTCCGCGAAGAGGTCCAAGGCTCAAACAAGCCTTCAGGAATTCCTTAAGTGAGGCAAGGAGGTGGGCTTTTGTACTTGACTTTGACTTTTGGACATGAGGTGTCCCTAGGGAGGGACTCACCTTCAGCCAGGCTCACCTTCAGCCAGGCTCCATGTCCTTGAAGGGATTTAGGTCTCCTCACCTTCTCCCAGGTGCTTCCAACAGTTGGGGGAACCAGTGCCTTGGTACTGATGGAAGGACTTTGATCCTTCTGCCTTGGAAAGTGGTACTGCTGTACCATGTTCCTATTTCCTCTTTTTTGTTGTTATTGTCATCCACTACAAGAAATTTAAAACTCCTTGACATCGCTAATCATGTGGACTCTCATCTCTGTATGACACCGCATCTTTTCACCTTCAGCTCTCCAATGCTATCCCCAAGCCCTCGAGAGTTCACAGTTTCTATCACCACCATATACACTCCAGTCTCAAAACATCCCCGAATATGTCCACGTCTTGGCAGAAATTCTTAGAATATTCAAGGAAGTCTCCAATGAATGCTTTCATGAGCCAGTTGCTGAATAAACTGAAAAGTAAAACAAAAATTAACTGTGGAGTCTAAAACATCTCCTATGTTAGTGGGAGTCCAGGTGGGAAGATGTGGTTTGATGTATATTTACCCCCCACCGATTTAAAACCATTGTATCAAAGGACTAGACAGAGGTCCCCCACATGGTCACTACAGCAATGGACCACACATAGCTTGGATGTGCTATACCTTGGATCTGGGAAGTCTCCCAAGACTTGTTAAAGCTGTGCCTCCCATCTTAGTAACACTGGAAGGAAGTAGAAAATTTAATGAGGAAGGGCTTAGTGGGAAGTCTTAGGTCATTAGAGGCGCATGCTGGAAGGGAATATTGGGACCCAAGTCACCCACTCCGTTCTTGGCTAAGCTCTGAGGTACATGGCTTTTATACTCCCTACTTTGATGTCCCGCCTCACCACAGGCCCAAAAGCTACAGAGTCAATCAATGATAGATTGAAACATCCAAAACTGTTGAAACTTTCAAAATTTAGTAAGTTGAATATCACAGGTATTTGTTATACCAACCAAAGTTGATGAACAAAGGTAATTTTAAAGAATTCCTTGTTTCATGAACTTTCCCTGTTTCCTTGGCACTGAGTTCTTGTCAAAGCATGATTACTGTCTGATGTTATACGTATTTACTTATTTATGTATGTATTTATTTGCTTGTGCTCTGCACCTCTCCCCAAGTTGAAGCTCCTCCTAGGCAGGAATTTAGGGTGTTTTACTTCCTGGTGTGTATGGAATCTAGACCAGCTCCTCGACATAGGATGTGCTGAACACAGGGTACCCCTATTCTTAGACTAAGCATTCTATAATATCACACCCTATGTTCCCCATCCTGGGGACAAACTCAGGCCATCTTAGGAGCACTACAGAAAGCTATAGAAAGACTGCTCATCCACTATCTGTCTCAAAACTATCACCACTTAACATATGATAATATAGAAGTTACGTTTCCTGTAGTAGCCTAACTTTTGCCTCATCTATCTGCCTGTAACTATAAATATTATGATCCAATAATTTACCCTATTTGTGCCTTACATAAAAAATTACCAAAAAAAAGAAAAATCAAATTATCTTTTTTGTATGGCTAACAAATCATCTTTCTTGAGACAGTGACATTGCACAAAAATACAACCCAAGAATATTTGTTATTAAAATATGTAAAACTTTGAGAATTGAACTTTTGCAGAAAATTTAATTTTTGCTGCACTTCTGACTTTTCAGTCACCTAGGTGATTCTCAGGAACACCTCAGAATGTAGGCCCTGTGAGGGAAAATGGGACAAACCTAAGGAAGGACTATTGAAATGAATCAAAACCAAGGATAATGTGGGATTGTCTTCTGCACGCTCCACCAGATGGTGGCGCTGAGATGTTTCCTTAAACATTTCCAAATTGGATTCCACTTTTAACCAAACAATAGAATAGAATTCGCATGTTGAAGAGTGGCTCTCTAAACTAACATTTTAAAAATAACTTTTAGATAACATGTTCCGGGAGCTTCTGGAGCTTGTGGGTGACAGGGACTTGGGTCACTTTCATAAGTTATAGGTAGCATGTGTAGGTGGAAATTGGAGCTAGGATTTCCGCTGCAGCAGAGTTCATTATTAGATTTCCAGAGATCATCATGCACTTGGCTTCCAATAACCTTCCTCAGATTTAAAAAACAATTATGTGTAATGTGCATAATTTTCTTGTAGCTGTTTTTCAATCTACAGGAATAGTCTACTCTCATTTCAACCTTCAAAACCCAATTGCTTATTCTTACATGGTTCATGAAAAGCCAGCTTTCTTAATTCTTTAAAACTGAGGAAAGAAGTTTACAATGAGTAGTTTAACAATTGTATTTCTTGACTCTTTCTATAGAGATATTTTGTCTATTAGATGATCCAGGAAATTCTTTTCTCAGTGTAAAATATGCACAGAGGATCGATGTAAGAGTGTGAGTCAGTAAAATAGAGCAATTAGTTTACTTGATCACTTCCTGACAATCACTAACTCCAGTGGGAAAATGCAGTGGATACAGGGAATCCGATTTTATTTTATTTTTTTTTTACCATAATGCCTCTTGCTGTCTTAAAAAGAATTGCCTATATCATCAGTTATAATAAAATTGAACAAAACAGTAAAGAACAAGACCAATAAAACCAAAACATTGGAGACATTAGAGGACTTCAAAAGAAGATAATAGTCAACCAGAGTGGGCTTGATAATGAATCTTTTGTCTTCATTAGTTGTTGCCTATACTTTTGAACTTGGTTCTATCAAGCATAACAGAATAGAGGAAAATCAGTCAAAACAAGATGGTGAGAGCAATACAGGGTTTCAAATCAAGTTAATAGGAAATCAATGTGGGTTACTATAATAATCTTGCTATTTTTTATTTATTTTTTCCTTAATTAAAAGGATAAAAATGAAAAAGTAGATAATAAAAAGGAGATTGAGATAAAAAAAAAAGAGGGCATAACAACAAAACAGTGCAGGTCAAAACATAGCCATTTAAGCAAATAGTGTTTCACCACAAGATAATCTCGACATAAAAGTAGTTACCATAGTGTCTCTTTCCTTAAAATCTTTGGGTATAACTTCGTATACTGTAGCATCAAATATATCAAGACAATGTAAAACCACTCAAGAGAATGACAGTATTACAGGGTATTTAGAATCAACTAACAGAAAGTGAACAATGGTTTCTGTATAATCTCCTTGTCTATAAAAGTTTTTATTTATATTATCACGTATAATAAAATCCAATAAGATACAACAGGTTAAAACCGATGGAGACAGAAGAACAAAAGCTTGATGGGACTTCAAAACAAGATGATATTAAATCAGCACTACCTATTATGATATCTTATTTTCTCCAAAATGGCTGTTCCTACCATCCAACCAGATTTTATAATTTGCTACAAATTTGAGGATTTCATAGAAATTTGAAGAGTCAGTGGTCTCCTATTTTATCCACAGTGTGTCTAGATTAAATTCTAGCTTCCTTACCTTCTATGTGTTGACTGTATGTTCCATTTTTCAGTCGTTATTTTCTCCTGGAGATACCAGATTGCCATGAGAAGACATCATTTACATAATCATCTGCCTAATCACCTGCATTTATTTGCATAAGTTATAAATCTATCTGAGAGAATGAGAGGACAACCCAGCGAGGAGCAGAACCTAGAGTGGGGGGTTGGGACTTGCCCAAGGTCCCTCGGGAGAAGGAACACAAGATGACAGCATTCAGGGGGTGGAAGAGTTAGGAAAGCAGACATCTGTGCTGCAAGGCACTGCGGGCTGCTGGAGGGTGAGACAGGGGCTGTCACCAGAGAGAGCAGCAGCGGGTGGGAGAGGCAGCTGCCATCACAAAGGTCAACGCACTTCTTTCTTCCTTTCTCTGTGGCCAGTGTCCCCACCTCCCAGTGCCGTGGCCTGGACATGGGGTGACAGGGTTCTGTGCAGGTGCCAGCAGCTGTTTTCTGGGCTGCTGGCAGGGGGTGGCCCCAGCACACAGACCCCTGTCTTCTCCCGAGGGAGCAGGAGGTTGTTATGAATGAAGCCTTGTTTTGCAGCTCGTCCATCCTCTAGTGATCCCAGGGAAGCTCTGTGTAGCCCTCTCTGTGTGTTCCTGGGCTCACTGGGCCAGAGGACAGCACAAAGAAACAAGCCCTCATACCAGAGCCCTGCTGTAGAGCTGGCTTGGGCTAAGCTGGCTTGGGCAGAAGGGGAGCTTGGGGAAGGGTCTCCATCTGACATGCCTGGCTTCTGTGCTTCTAAAGAGTCAGTTGAATAGTTAGAGCAGTAATTGCCAAGCTTAGAAAATGACATCCTGTTTGGGTTAGAGACGCAGGGAGAGAGAAAGAGAGAGAAAGAGAGAGAGAGAGAGAAAGAGAGAGAGAGAGAGAGAGAGAGAGAGAGAGAGGGAGAGAGGGGGAGAGGGAGAGGGAGAGAGAATGTCTCAATGTGCACCTAATAATATAATAATAATAATAATCCTTGTCTTCATCATAGAAAAGACCCTTACTATTGCATGGCACTATTCTGAATATTCTGCAGGTATCGCCTCATTTAATTTTCGTGGTAACCTTGGTGCTAACTATGCTTCTCTCCTAAATATTTCACTGATGAGGGAACTGAAACACAGAAAGGCTTTTCCCAAGGACAGAGGCAAATCCAAGATTTTCCCTCAGGCAATCTGGCACAGAGAATTGCTTTTTACTTGTGCCGCAAATAGTACTGATTTATAAATTATACAGATATGTGCTACTCTGATAATACATACTTTATGAAACACAAACACCCGCAGACATTGTAGAAGGTAAAGGTAAAAATCGATATGAGTTGAATTTCTGGCCATTTCTTCCTTCATCCCCGTAGACAGTCTTGTCAGTCTCTTGTTGCCCCATTTTGGAGATTGCTATTTGAAAATTTGGAACTGTGGGGAGAGAACTAACTGTGATGGGCTCAGGGCACATGAAGGGGGCACCATTCACAGGGGGCTTCCAAGGCCTCAGGCTCCATTTTTCCCAGAAATAGGTTTGAATTCTAGCTCCATCTGTGTGACGTGGGTACCAGTACAGAACCTTCTGGGCTAGAGAGTTCTCACTTTTAAAGCGAGACTACCACACCTTTGCTTGTTCATTATAAGCAGATCACTATATGAAAAGTCTCTGATCTCTACTGGGCCAATCAGTGGTGGTTACCATTCTTAGAGGCACATTTACTCTGAAGCTAGTGAAGTTTAAAACTCAGGGTGTGTCACTAGGCCCACGCTCCTTTAAAACCCTAGGAAGGGCCCAGCTGTTCTGCAATATCTATTTGTCTGCTCTCTTCCTTAAATAAAGATTTATATTTTTTAGTTTAAAGAGGGTAAAACCAAAGAAAATAAACAAAATAAAACCAATCAAAACAAACCAGTGTAAGTGATCAACAATAGTTACCATAATGCCTTTTGTTGTCTCCAAAATAGCTGCAGGTACCTTCAGACATAGTAAAAATCAAACAGAACAGAATAGAATGGAAACAATAAAAACAAAACAATGAATGCAATAAAGGACTTCAAAACAAGACAATAGTAAATCCAAAATGGCTACCATAATGTGTCTTGCTATCTTTGAAATAGCTGCTCACGCCACCAGATTTAACATAATCAAACAAAACAAAAGAGAATAAAACCCAGCCCAACAAAACATTGAAAATGATATAGGACTTCAAAACAGGGCAATAGAGACTCAACAATGGCTACAACCCTCTGAAGGCGATCCACCCCCCCACCAGATGCCACACTATGTATCACTGTCCTCTGAACCTATGATCAGACCACTGGCCCCTCTGAACTGATGATCAGACCACTGGCCCTATGCCTGCAAGGTCACTGAAGCACCAAAGCACCACAGGCATCTGATTGCATTTCACCTCCATAGCTATCACTAGAGCCTGTGTTTCTCTGGATCAGTCTGATGCTTATGAGGTGTGTGGGGATTGGTATTTCTTGATTGGCAGCCCAAGAGCCAGAATGGGCTGGGGTCTGGCTGTCCCCACTCTGGCAGTGGCCTGTGCATGGTGCTGGCTCCCAGGCCAAAATAAGAATTCTAAACTATATACATTTGAGACTTACACTGGATCCCCCCACCCCCATCATACTAACCCTAACCTTAACCCTAACCCTAACCCTTTGCCTTTCCTGGGGTACTTTTAGGTCCTACAATGACAGTCAATGTGATGTTTTGGGGATGAGCATGAAAGGTAGGCCAGTAATGTAGGTGCCTGGGGAAGTTGACACAGCCTCCAGGGCAGGCCCATGGGGAAGTGCAAGTGGAACACAGTCCCAGCCTCCGGGGTTGTGGAGGCAGTTGGGAATGGGATGTCACAGAGAGTACTGAGGGGAGATGCAATGCTTCCTTGCTCCCCAGTAAATACCAACATGCATTCAACAAGAACCCCTGTCTTGAGGAGCATGCGCAGTTTCGGCAGGAAACCCACTGACGTCAAAACCAGTCAGAGACAGAGGTTAGACAGAGACAGATGGCACGAACCTTTCCTAGGAGTACTGTGAGCCAGGTGTTATGCCAACAGCATGGATGCTTAAGAGCTACGGTGACATTCACAGGCTGCCACGATGTTTGGGAGAAGAGCTTTTGGTGCAGCTGAATGTGTGGTCAAGAAAGGCTTCCCCAAGTTCTGGAGTCAGAAAAGATAAAGGAGTTCACCAGTGGAAGAAGGGAAACAAGAAAAGTGGTCCAACCACAGTGACTATATCAGGAAATAATACCTTAGAGGTATGAACTACGTGAAAAATGTGTTAGCTGGACTGTGAGTATTAAAGTGGCCTGAAATTTGAGATAAGTAGAGCAAAAAATAAAGAAGCCATAAGATTTAATAAGATGAGATGAAGGGCAACTGACCATTGACTAGAGTGAAGGAGACTGGCATGGGCAGCTGGATTGGTTGGAAATGAGCTAGGTGAGCTGCTTGCTAGCTTATTGGCTGGAAATGAGCTAGGGGGATGGCTTAGCTGGTGGGTGACCAGGGCTCTTCCGCAGTCCAGGCTACAGGAAGCACATAGGACTCTGGCAAGAATGGCAGAACAGAGATGGGGTCTGCCTTTGCTTGATTTCATGGCCTTTGGGCTCATATGGAAGACTGCGACTTCCTTCTATGGCGCCCTTGGAAAGGCTTTTTGTTAAGAGTGCGATTCCAGAGACTTCCGGGAGAACATGGCGGACAGATAGCAGCAGCTACCGAGGCTCTCTGTGAGACCCAGCTTAGAATCCAGGAATGGTGTGGAGTGAGGAATCCTAAGCAAGAGGAGATATACCCTGCTGACCCAAGAACGAACTGAGAGAAACCAACTGGGAATGCAATCCTGGTGCTATAACAGGAAGAGATAAAACCTCAGCATGGAAGCTGGAGCCCGCACCATTGCAAGACGCGATTTGGGTTTCCTGCCACCACTGCTGTGTCTGAATCGGCTCGGCAGAGAGAGAGAGACACGTGAAAGCTTGAGAACGGGAATCAGTGAACCGAGTTGAGAGTGGGACGGGCGGGAGCTGTGCATCGACCTGCGGTAAATGAGGGAAACTGGGACTCTTCCACGGTCTAGGAGACTCCAACAGAGGACACTCTGGGACCAAGCAGACTTGCCGGAACAGGGTGCTGTAGTGATCTCAGTCACATATCCCCCTCTTAAGCAGGATTGGTGAGCAGTGCCTAGCCTACATGATGCTGCTGGCTGAGACCCAGTAGGCTAGCACAACCCAGGTCCCAGTACCTGGAGGTGCACCCTAGCGGTGAAGCCTTTGGTAGGTTGACCTGGTGTGGTGGGAACCACATAGGCTGCCCGGTCCGTAACTCCCTGGTGCGCTGCAGTGGGCGGGAACACCTAGCCGGCGCAATTCAAACAGACTGTGGCCAACAGGGAAGGAAGCTGGGCCTCCTATATACGCTTGTATATAAGGAATAAAGAATATGGGAAGAGGGAACAACAAGAAAGGCTCCTTGGCCCCCAATCCTGAGAAACAGGCAATAGCAGACACCCCACCAATAGACATTAAGTACTACCTTCAGAGCCTCATAGACGAGTTCAGGAATGAAGTTATTAATGATCTGAAGCAAGACATAAGCAGAATAGTTAGAGAAATGCTAAGCACCACCCAAGAAAAAACAGATGGTAGAATGGAAGAACAGAAAAAAAGGGGAGAATTGTTTGATGGAGAAAATAGAGAAAACATAGAATATGTGAAGCAGGTTCAAAGAGACTACCAGGAAACTAAAAACTCTATGGAAAACTGGCATAACAGCTTGAAAGAAACTAAGGTTAGATTATCTGAACTAGAGGGCAGATTTGTAATATGGGAGCATGAAATGAAAAACTTCTTTAAAATAACAAAGAAACAAACAGCAATAATACAAAGACTAGAAGATGATAAGAGGATATATAACTTAAGAATTAAGAACATAAAAGAAGAGGCAGGGACACAAACAAATGAACTACAAAAGCTACTTGCAGAAATAATCCAGGAGAATTTTCCTAATTTAGCAAAAGGTAAAGATACTCAGATGTATGAAGCATACAGGACCCCAGCCACCTACAATCCAAACAGAGCTATACCCAGGCATATAATAATCAAAATTCCAGAAATCCAATATAAGAACAGAATATTAAAAGCCGTCAGAGACAAGAAACAGATCACTTACAAGGGAACACCCATCAGAATTACAGCAGACTTTTCGGCACAAACTATCAAATCACGAAGAGCGTGGGGGGAAATAATTCAAGCTTTGAAAGATAATAACCTCCAGCCAAGATTGATATATCCTGCACAACTATCCCTGGAAATTGATGGAAAAACAAGGTGCTTC